ATGGGTTCGAACGAGAGTTTAGACTAATTCATTATATTAGGAGGTGGAAACGTTGTTGAGATGGGTTCTTACAATAGTTTAGACCAGATACATTCGCGAAAGTGGTCGCTTATTACAGGTGTTGTATGTTGTTTCGGACCAAAAATCGATGCCCGCGGTCGCGTTACACAGGTGGTCGTTTAATACAGGTAACTTATACGAAGACTCTATGGATAAACTATTCCGTGCCAGAAATTTTCGCCCGTTTTGACAGGTGCCCGTCGAATGCAGGTGGTCGCCTAAGCAGTTTTCACTGTATATAAGGTTAGTATATCATTCTTCATAAAGAATTTGGGTATTATATATAATGCTTTAATTGAAGAAAATACGTATTTTCAATTAATATTGTCCAAGTAATGCCAATGGATAACAAATAGGCTAAAGTATAAATTGATATAGTCTAATGAAAATGGAAAAATGAAAAAAAAGTAATGTCTACCTGTTTCTACTCGATTGGGTGTTACTCACAAGAAAACAATAACACAAGTGTGATATCTGATTTTCTTTTTATTTCATGTGACATATTTAATATATAAAGTCCTCGGAGACGTATAGTGCTAATTAGCACGATACTTCATATTATTACCTTATATAACCTTAGAATTTATTAAAATTTCTATGTAAAGATGAGGTTTGTTAAGGTTACTTTTGGTTAGATGGAAAGTCAAATATAAGGCTTTTGAGAATGATATATTATATGGTAAACAGAAGTTAGAGATAGAATGTATTGATATTTCTCTAAGAAATTAAGTACGAAATCATACTTGACGAATTGCATAATGATACTTATGATGTAACGTAATAAAAATATTATTTTTTACAAAATGAAAACTTTCCTTCACATAAAAATTTTATTTTTGAATTTTAACCTATGCAAAACTCAATATATAATGTTTTTATTTAGTAATATTATGAATACACTTATCAAAAATTCGAATTGATGTGTAAGGGTCAGTCAAAAATAACGAGGCTGTTAAGGAATTTTAAAAAATAGAGTATCTAATTTTAACAGGTTACCAAGTCAAACGTGTCTGCTTTAAGATGACTAAAGAATACATTAAAGAAACGCATGTATACAAGTGCACATGATCCCAAACAGTTGCTAGAAGACTAATAGTAAGCGTAAATAGTTTCAGAATTTCTCCAAAAGGTTTTGCTATATATGGAAGCCAGGAAAGAATATTAATGTTTCTGATTGTGAAAGTAAGTGAAAGAGAAATTCGTCGTAGAATAAGTGCTATAGAGCACCGTATGTCGGCATCTAGAGTTAAAAAATAAAATAAATTCTGTGATGATTGGATGCCTTTGCAGATGACGAAATTCTTGTCGACCAGCTGTTGTCTCTGAGAACATTGAATAATAAGTAGATAGAGCTCAGTGTACAAAGTAATAAAGTTCCAGTACGGGAAGATCTGTGTACAATGGGTTCTGCACCACTGAGTCAAAAGCAGCAGGTGTTCGAATGGAAACTGAATTTAAACATTTTTTTACGACATACAAGAGAAGATGAAGCAGAAAATCGTAACGGTATTGTGATTTCAAGCCGGAGAGTAAGAGCTGCCTGTTGCTCTCCTGCTTACGGAGCAGCCAATGGAAACATTATTCGTCTAAGCCTCCAAAAAGAAATCTAAAACCATGCTCCGCGCTGGGAAAATAGTGTTAACTTTATACTTTGACTATGTAAGAGCCATTATTTACCAACGTCATGGCGTTTTGTATCACTAATGCTTTACACTTGCAAAATACTGCATTTACTGAGGGCATCGACAAAGTTTAAAGCTAGGTTTTTTGCCGGTGTTTCTCCATGATAATGCTCTGCAAAAGATGAGATGGAAAACCTTCCAACATCATGCTTACAATCCAGATCTCTAGCTCTGCGATTTTTACGTTTTCGACATCCAAAACAAAAAAGTGTTAAAGGGACGACGATTTCGATTGAACAATAAAGAGACCATCAATGGTTGATTACGCCTCAACCAAAAGAGTTCTACCAGAAAGCAATCTTCCGGTCAGTAAAACAGTGGGATATTTGCTTGAATCCTTACGAGGATTATGTGTAGCTTCTGTTAATTAAAGCTCATTGTTTCAAAGGTGCCTCGTAACTTTTTGACTGACCCTTATATAACTAATAAAATTTTATATGATTTATATCATTTATAATAATTTTTATCTAACGTTACATGAACGAAAATCATTTAAAACGTTTTATTGTATAAACCGATCATTTAAAATAAATCTTATCAATCTTCTTCATCGCTATCATCATCGGAATCATCTTTTGTTTTCTTATTTTTCTTGTCTTTTGACTTCTTGTTAGATTTATCTTCTGACTTCTTGTCACTTTTATCTTCATTATCAGATTTATCATCACGTTTTTTCATTTTCCCATCGTCATCATTTTTTGAAGAATCTTTGTCGTCTTTCTTATCTTTTTTCGAATCTTTATCATCTTTTCCATCCTTTTTCGAATCTTTATCATCTTTCTCGTCCTTTTTCGAATCTTTATCATCTTTCTCGTCCTTTTTCGATTCTTTATCGTCTTTCTCGTCCTTTTTCGAATCTTTCGAGCTAAATAAATAAGCAATATTACTTATTTAGAATTAATATAGTTTCAATTATATATTAGTATAAAAACGATACTAAATATAAATTATCTTCAGATTTTGAAAACATAAACAGTAGACCTTGCTTTTACGGTCCAAAATAAATGTCGTGTGATCAACTTTTATGAGGTCAACCCGGGACACATCCTTACCACACCGAAACTTAATATTATAAGTAATGTATGTATTATTGTTTTATTAACACGAAAATGCAAAAAAAGCATTTTTATTACAAAAATAAACCTATAATGTTGTGTATTTTTCCCTTTTTTGGTATATAAATGTTATTTTTTTAAAATAAAAAAACCAATGCAACCAATAGCATTTATAATAGAACTAGTTACACAAACAATAAACGTAAGGAACTGACCTCCGGTAAATCTTCTTAACCACCAGAATTTAAAAGTGTCAATCCTCAAATATACAAACCTCCCTGCAAAGTTTCAGAAATTTTCGACAAAAAGTACAGGCGTTATTAAACTTTAAAATGGATAAACAAAGTCATGGCCCTCCATACACACATACATAAAAGAAAAACTCCCATATTCTTTTTGCATTTCTCGACGTTTCAAGGTTCCCTGAGTAAAAAAATGATAAATCTTGGGGTTTCAGTTTTTAACCGATCGCGATACTTTCCCACTGTTTGTTTTTATGATAGTTCTGTATAGTTGACGGGAAAAAAATATATCGAATATTTTAATGGATTTTAAAAAAATCCATTAAAATATTCGATATTTTTATTCCGCTCTCCGATTTTATATATCTCAAGGATTTCAATATTAAACCAGTGATATTACGATTTCGTATATCCCATCTCTAAGGGGATGTAGAAAAAAACGTGTACAATTCTTGTATAATGTTAAAAACTTAACTGTTACTTTGACAGCATCATTTACAACTAAATTTAATGAATGAGAGAGATGCACGAGGTACAGAAAAAGCGCTAGAATTTATTTTTTTTACATTTACGATTTATGTATCCGTTTGTCATAAAAATTTGTCTTTCCACTTTTTTTCCGAGACTACAAATATTCGAGTACAAAGTAACTGGTTCGACTTATTTCTACTTAACAAGTAGTTAAATAATTAAGCGATTAGGGAATTGGGGACATAAACAAAACCCTGACGAAAGAGCCAGAATTTTACTTAAACAAAAGCTTAACCGAATCATCTCTAGCCGAGTACAGTGGAAACTGATTTCTTCGTATTATTAATGTAATAAAGACAGAAATTTTTTTAGTTCAATGAGAGTGACCGAAAAGTTGTAAATTTCTGAGGACACTTGGTCCTAAAACGAATTAGTTAAAAAACAAATGACTATTAAATTTAACATATTTCGATTTTTACAGCTATGGTGAGAAGCGTTTAAAATCTACAACAATCCTGTCACGTCCTTTGAGATATAGGCTACTAGTGATGTGACAAAAGAGGTATTTGACATTTACTGGTATCGGCACCCTGGGGATTTGGCAGTCCGCGTGTATGCACGCTCCGCAACCGTCTTCGATTCCTTCCGTTAGCCACTCGTAGGGAGCTATTTGACTAAGATTTAAAAAGTAAAGAATATTTTATATTTTTATGTACGTTTCTTTGCAAAGCTATATTTAATTATAATTATCTTTAAAAGTATATTCATACAATTCAATAATATTTTGTACCATGTATGTACCGGTACATCCATCACACATTTTATTTCACCGAGTACGTTTTTATTGTTTTATTTTTAATTGTAGCCCTTATATCGTGGCTAGCGATTCGGAATGTAATTGTGATATTAAAAATGCATTTAGAGAAGTCTACGGTTTTTACTGGCTTATCGAATAAACGATACGAATGGACTCTAGACCATTACTGACCAGGGGCAATCACCCTGGATGTCAGCTTCTTACAGAAACACAGCTTCCCTATCATCAAATGTCACAGCACGCCACTGCAAGTTTCTCTGTTTGAGATCGAATTAAAGGTCTATTTTTACCTCTCTGCTATCTAATTTGAGATTTCGTTATAGTCTACTTAGGGACGAGTGACTAATTACTTAGAAAGCGACAACGTGGAAATGCGACCAATCAGAATGAGCTATCAGGGTAAGAAAATAATAAATTTTCCGAATTTCAAGAGAAAGCGGATTTTGTATTCCCAATCACGCGGAATAAATTTGTGTATTGTTTTTTTCTATGTTTATGACATTGTCGTCTCCGAAACGCTTTCGTCCCGTCATCCATCATCGCCGTTTACCTCCCAGACTTGGTGACGACATTGCCCTGGGCCGACAACTCATTGAGAGTCCACCATCGGCGATGTATCTGTGAACTGTTAAGGTCATCGTTCGAGAAGGAGCATCTCTAAAATACTTTGCAAGCCATCAGTTTATTTCCAAATAAACGGGCTTCATTTGTAAGGTGCTTCGCCTCAGTATGCCAACCATCACTCACTTATCGTCCCTAATCCCTCATATTGACTCGAGTCTAACTGATTTCTTCCCCTTCCCCCTTCCCCTGTCAGCAAATCTCATATTTTTTATCCGTGAACTATTACACGACTTTTATCAATTTGGAATGCATTTACTCTTCATTTTGTATCCATTGAATTAAACTGTTATTAATTTATGTTTTAATTATTTTATTAGCACTTATAATTATAAACATTTAAATGGTTAATCCTTAAAAGAAATGTATACAATAAATTGAGCATTTCATATATGATTTATAAGTTTTCATCAAAGCATTTTTTAATAAAAGTAAAATGTACTGTACTTTAAGGCCGAGACTCCACTAGTGTAAAAGCACTGACCGTAATTATTTTTAATCACGTGACCTACTGGTGTGATTGAGGTGGAGGACCTCTATTAGCGAAGTTTTTACGAATACTCCTTTATTTATAGGCCTATATATAAAAATTAATATGTGTGTCCTTCATGATTACCACACCATTTATCCGATTGCCGTGAAACTTTGGGAAGTTGTTTAATATACTCCCGCGAAGGTTTCTGGCATAGTACGATTGCCATGAAGCTTCGGGAAGTTTTTTAATACACTCCGTTTCTGGCATAGTACATTTATCCTACGATAGATGGCGCGATCCTACGATAGAGTGTATACGAGCATTTCATCGTGAGATCGATGGATTTCAAATTGTGAAGACCATTTCTCCCCTCCAATATATATCTCTATAGAGATATATATTGGAGTTGAAATATATATCTCTATAGAGATATATATTTCAACTACTTTTTGCTAATTATGTATTCGCTCGAACTTTGTTAAAACCTTAACTGTATCCCGAACAACAACCGAAGTCGTAGAAGGAAATTCGCCTATTTTACCGATCTAGGTATCCCCTTTTCCAAATTTTAATATCGACTCAAAATAATTTAAAAAGACAAATTACAATAAAACGGTTTATTATCCAACTATCAGAAATTTCACAACATGCCAAGGAAGAGAGGAAGGAGCAATTAAATAATTAAAATTATAAAGGATTAAAAAAA